GAACTTGTTTATCCAACAGTGGATCTGATCGCTGATCGCGTGGCAGCTCTCGGCTCTGGTTGTCTTCTATTCAAACGTGATTTAAAACGAGCTTACCGTCAATTCCCGGTGGATCCTCATGATTATCCGCTGTTAGGATACTACTGGAATGGCCATTTTAACTTCGACGTCGTGTTACCTATGGGACTCAGGACCGCTGCAATGGCCTGCCAGAGATCAACGAGCGCTGTATGTTACATTCTTTCTCGCGCCGGTTGTCAAGTTTGTAGTTATTTGGACGATTTTATCGGTGTTGCTCCAGCGGCGAGGGCATCTCGTGATTATTACCATTGTGGCTCGCTCCTCACTGAGTTAGGACTTCAAGAATCTCCTTCCAAGGCCTGTCCCCCGTCCACCTGCATGACTTGTCTGGGAGTTTAGGTTAACACACTGGATATGACTCTTTCTGTAACCCCGGAAAGACTTACTGAGCTTAAAATGTTACTGTCGCATTGGTTGACAAAGAAATCGGCTCTCAAGTCAGAGCTACAGTCCTTGGTTGGCAAATTGTCTTTTGTTTCAAAGTGTGTTCGTCAGAGCCGTCTTTTTCTCGCACGTATTCTTGCTCTGCTTCGTACCGTTAAGCGTAATCATCATCACATTAAACTTTCACGGGATTTTTTTATCGGGACCTTCATTGGTGGTTGCGCTTCATTCGTGTTTACAATAGCATTTCCATTATTCCGACGTCTGAGTGGTCTTCTCCTGACGCTATTTTCGCCACTGACGCGTGTTTATCCGGTTGCGGTGGATTAACTCGTCATCACTTTTTTCACACCGAGTTTCCTCGCGAGGTCACGGACAGGTTTCCCTCTATTCATCACCTTGAAGTTCTCGCCATTCTCCTGGCTGTTCGTTTGTGGGGACATCAGTGGCGGAGTTTCCGTATCCTGGTACAATGCGATAATGCAGCTGTAGTTAGCTCGCTTAATTTCGGTCGCGTTCAAGATCCTCTATTAGCTACATGTCTACGGGAACTTTGGTTTCTGGCCGCATTAAACGCGTTTGAATTACGAGCAGTACACTTATCTAGTGCAGACAATCGTCTTGCGGATTTGTTGTCTCGGTGGCATTTGAATTCCCAGTTTCAAGAGGAATTTCTTGCAAAGACTGCTGATTTANCTACACTCCAGGAAATTAGAATTTTTTGCCCTAAAGTGGGCGATCACTGACAAATTCAGAGATTACCTGTTCTACGCCCCATCTTTTGTTGTCTTCACTCACAATAACCCACTAACATATGTGATGTCATCCGCAAAGCTGAATGCCACGGGACATCGGTGGGTAGCTGAGTTAGCAGACTACAACTTTACAATCAAGTACCGACAGGGCAAATCCAATGCGGAAGAAGACATTCTGTCTAGAATTCCATTAGCTATGGATGAATACGTTTGAGTGCACAGAAAGAAGTCCCCAAAGATGTCCTTCAAGCAACTATGGTAGCAGTTAGGGAACAGGAAAAGGGTACCACCCCATGGGTAACTGCTATTTCCACTGACATGATGAGCCCTGAACCCACATTAAAGGACCTGCATCTGAAACCCTTTAGCTCAAGGGAGATTAAAGAAGCACAACAATCGGATAATGCAATACGTTACACCACCTACCACAAGACCCATGGTTTTAAACCGGGTAGAGAGCAACTGCAGAATGCACCTCAAGGCACTGCCAACCTTATGAGAGAATGGAAGAGACTGGAAGTTGATGAACAGGGTATCCTGAGACGAAGAACAGCCTCTAGAATCCAGCCAGTTCTACCGCATGCCTTTATCCCATTGGCCATCAATGAACTGCACACTGAAATGGGACACCTAGGTGCAGAGAGAGTTGCCAAACTGGCAAGGTCCCGCTTCTACTAGCCACATATGTACAGTGATATAGAGTACTTTGTGACACAACAATGCAGATGTATCCAACAAAAAAAAAAACCAAACACACTCACTAAAGCGCCAATGCACCACCTGATGACCTCAGCACCATTTGAAGTGATTTCCATAGATTTCCTACATTTGGAGAAGAGCAAAGGCGGATATGAATACGTGCTACTAATCGTCAATAACTTTACCAAATAGGCCCAAGCCTATGCAACACGCAACAAAACAGCCCGTACGGCTGCTGAGAAGATATACAATGAGTTTATCCCGAGGTTTGGTTTCCCAGCGCAAATACATCATGACCAAGGTGGTGAGTTCCACAACAAATTGTTCCACAACCTCGAGCATCTTAGTGGAGTTTCTAGTTCACAAACCACTCCATACCATCCCCAGGGTAACAGCCAGGTAGAACGCATGAACCACACCTTACTCTCAATGCTAAGGACCCTCCCAGAAGAAAAGAAAGCGAACTGGAAAGACTCCTTAAACAAGCTCATCCCTGCTTACAACTACAGACGACATGAAACCAATGGATTTTCTTCATTTTATCTGATGTTTCGCCATTCTCCGCGATTACTGATTGATTTGCTGTTCGATTTGGATGATAGCCTTCATCACGGTGACTACCCAGACTATGTGAAGACCTAGCAAGCAAGCATGAAAGAGGCCTATGACATTGCCTCAAGGAATACTACGAAATTGTCAACCAGAAGTAAAGCGTATTATGACACAAAGGCTTCTGCTGCGGTC